CATCACGTTTAAAACCACACACTTGTGCAATTGCTTTGCTAGAGATGAGAAAACAAGAGACAAACGCACCTCATTCCACAACATATTTTACTGCCTTAAAGTCCATCACCCACATGCACAAATACATGACTCATAAGCCATGGTCAGTGCTCATATCAGTCTCAAGACAGACCCATCTTCTCTCCAGGTTTGCCTATTCCTTCACACACCAATTAGCTTCACTGCACTAGCCAAGTCCCTTCACTAGTTCCAAACCCTCATGAATTCTACCATGCTCATCACTATCCTCAGCTCTTTGCTCTCTTGTTCACCTCTGGTTCTGCAAGGGAAAAACAGATTAAAAGCTTATAATCCAGACAAGGAAGCCAGTGCAAAAAAAAGTACCAAGACATCAGGTTCTTCTTTCTTTTCTTTTTCCTTCACCCATCTAGGAAGAAGCTTCCATCTTAGAGGAGTTAGTGCACTGAGGCAGGCAGTAAACCCATGCATGGATGCTCCCAACGTTCCCTACCACTTCTCAGGGTAGGACCAAAATTTTGTATAAAACAGCAACCTCTCTGTACTTTTCCTCCGAAACCATATGGACAGAGGCTGACAACAGTGAAGGAGAATGGAATCACAGTTCATACACATCTACCAGTTCAACTGCTTTGGCCATAAACCAGTCCTTTTTCAGTACTGTGAACAGTCAGCAAGCACCACAGGAGCAGATCTTTGAGCCACAGACTTAATATTGTGGTTCCTTAGTATTGCCTACACATTTCCTGTTCAAATGAAAGGCATTATCACCTTGTGTGGGGCACTCATTGCAATGCTTTTGGGTTCTAGCCCCTGGCTCTGTGAAGTCCCCATGCTGAAGTCACCTAGGTCCAATTGTTTTGGTGTACAGAACAGCATTCTATAGCAATCACAGTATGGCTGCTGTATGGATATCCATAAGGCTCTGTTGTTGCAGCTTCATCTTAGCTTTGAGTTCCTACAACACTCCCAAACTTGAAGTGTGCACTGTTTTTTTATTTCACCTGCCCAGACACAGGTCTGCCTGGCAGGCCCTCATACAGCAGTGGCAGCTGTACAAAGTGGGCTCATCTCCACTGCCAGACAGACTTTCAAACTGTTGGCAGTTATGCAGGGATGATAAACAGCTTTCTACCAAATCCATTACTTGCAGAATTCATAGGTCTCTGTTCACTCACTCCATAGGAAAAATAGTCCCACTTTGGTATCTCTGTCATGAACCACAAAAAATGAGCTTCACACAGTGCCATCAGCATTCTCCAGGGCTTTCTAGTATTAGACAACCACTATATCAGTTGGTTTACACTCTAATTTCAAAGACAGGGGCTTTTTGATTGCAGAAGAACCTGGAGGTTGGGGTGGAAGAAACTCCACTGTTTAGAATGAACCTTAGAAAAGCAAAAATAAAACCTATCCGCACAGGACTGAGGTAAAGGTTAGCAACTGCTTCTGCAAGTGCGAACAAAACAAACAGGACTGCAGAGTCGATTACAGTCACTGGGAACATAAAGCAGAAGCTCCATAGATTCCACTGAACTCAGCTGGAGAGAAAGAGAAACCTGGCAGAGAAACAGGAGGTCTTCAACCCCCCAGACTAAGAGGGGAGTGGTAGCACAAGCAGCTTGCTAATCTCAAAAGCCACTAAATCACTGGAAAGCAAGGGGCGGGGGGATGGTCAGCATTTAAACAGCATCTTGTCCTAAGTGCTCCTAGGAAATCCACTGATCATCACAGTCGAGGATTAAAACATATTTTAGAAGTAACAGCAAAATCAACTAACCAAAGTGTCAGAGAAAATTTAAACCTCATTTTTTACCTGAGTCACAGATAAACAGCTTCACATAGAGAGCTATAAGACAGCATGCACTGATTTTGTGAAGCAAGCTATATAGCCAAGCAACAACTCCAAGCAAGCTATAATGCCAAGCAACATGCTTATCAATTAATAAACTGTTACCAGTCAAGAAACTGACCCAACTGAAGCCATTGTGAGGCCTCATCACTGCATAACAGCACTATGCAGCTCTCCCCTTGATTATACTCAGAAATGCATGTAAGGTGGCTTCTGCTGTGTCTTTCTCTGCAACTAATATTTTACAGTAGTCAGAATTTTTTTAAAAATGTGTTCCTCCTCCACAATCATGGTAAAAAAATTCAACCTTAATGCAGAGTTACGATTTTTTTTTTTTTTTTTCTATTCCCACTACAGGAAATTAGTGATACATAATTAATCCTAACATAAATTTCTTTGCCTGGGCTCCATTGAGTACATTTAATAGAAAGTACAGTTTTTACCAAAACTCAATCCTGAAGCTCTCATGCTATTCCTTGGAAAAAACTGAAATCCTACTACCTTGGTCTGATTTAAGGATTTTGATAACCCACCTCCAGGTACCCATATTCAAATTTTGGCTTGGATGTCATTCATTCACTTGAGAGTTAGGTGACCTCATTCTAGTCCTTTTTTGTCATACAAAAGTAGGAAATTTTCACTTGACCATGAACTCGAGAAAGAATTTGGACAAAACAGCACATGTCTGCTGTCCAAGCTCAAGATGCACTGGGATGGCAGATCCAGGAAAAATTCACATTGCACATGTCCACACCACATTATTATGGTCAGAGTCATGAAAAGCAAAGCCAGCAAGCATACAAAAATCTGAATGCACAAAGAAGCAAAATACTACTAAACAAACTCCATTTTATGCTAATTAATATTAAAGCTGGCCAGAATCTGCTGCAATTCCAGCTCACACTCTCTGTTCAAGCAGAACTTCAGGGAAGCTTGGCAGAACCAAGGACTGAACCACAGGTGCAGGAAAAGCTGTCTGGATTTGTGAATTGCTTTCATATCACACAGAGATGGAGAATGGTCCTCATCAGAGTGTGATGGTGGGAAATGTAGCCAGCCAGATCGCACAGCAATCCCTCATGTTTTTTGTTTGTTTTATGAAAAAGAGGTTCTGCCAGCTGGTTTCAGATAAAAATTCTTCCTAATCAGGAAAGAAATAAAATTTCATTTAAAATTATGCTCAGTAGGAATTAATCAGAAACACAGTCCACCTGAAGGCATTAGCCTTTTTGGTTAAGTAAAAAGTTGCCACCAGCTAATGTGCAAGACAGTCATGATTAGCCATCTGGTGAAGGTTCCTGCTAAGCTTGCCATGTTACCCCCTATGCTGAGGGGAGCAGAAGGTGGATCAGTTACATTCTGTCCTTGCCTGCAATTGTGTGGTCATCCTGAGGAACAAGATACAAAGCTTTCCAGCACAATTGTAACCTTTCAGATTTTAAGAAGCCAATTTTTGTTTTATCATTACATCCCAGCTAAATTATTTAAAATAATCTATTGCCTTTCTGAAAGCTGAATTTATCCTCAACCTTTATCAACCTTTGTTATTTTTACCTCTTTGTTTCCTCCTGCAAAATTGCAACTGCCAGGAGGCTTCCCAGTCATCTAAAGAGCATCAGTAAACAAGAGCAGAGACAGATGGCTGCAGCTCAGTTTAAACCAGCACAGGATCCAGCTTCTCCCCTGCATTACAAGTACTACCCCATAAGATACCATCATACGCATAAAACCAAACAAGAATGCAGTAGTTCCAGATAGAAAACCAGTATGTATATACAATCTGATAAGGAAGAAGTCACAGTGAGGACAGGGTGCTGAGGTTTCTTGTACAGTGAACATCCATTGCAACTGTACAGCCTTCCAATAATACAATGGGATGTAAGGATGACAGGCAGGAGTGCAGGAAAGAGTTCTCCCTCCATTGTTGCTCTCAAAAGTATTGCTGGCAAAAAACAATCAGTGGGAAAAGTAAAACCAGGCATCATCTTCCAGCAAAGTTACTTTTCTGAGAACTAAGACACCAAACTCACCACTGAGAAAGTAACAAAATTTCTCAGTTCGCCTACTACTTCAGAAATTCAGTCACATTGACAAACAACATGTTCACACTGTATTAAAATGACAGATTCAAAGAGACAAAGAAAACCCACAAGATAACTCAGATTTAGAATTATACAAGTCTATCAAAAGAAGCGTGTTTTTTTTGTTTTGTTTTGTTTTGCTTTCATTCCAGGATTTGATTGTCATTTACTGCACAGGAGACTACTGGTGTTAGAACAAAGTATAATTTACACTATGTGCCTTGCCTTCCTAAATAGATTCAGATGTCCACATGTGTTCAATAAATCTATCTGAATCAACATAGTTTACCATCTCATTCACCAGCTATAAATCCACTGCTATTCCACAGACACACCTGGATGCCTCTGTGGCTTACATAAGAACAGGCTCAAAAAAATTACCCACTCTGCCCCCCTCCCAACAAATATTTTTACTATGTTGAAATTAAATTAACAGCTCTCCCTCGGGGCTCTCTGATATACCAAGTTCTTCCTTCACGTAGTGAGAGCAGAAAGCTTCAAGAACAGGGCTGCACAATCACCACCTCAAATCAGCTCTAATTGAAGGATGACATGAGACAGAATGAGAAACTAGCATTCCAATTAATACAGACAGCAAAAAACAAGAGCAAGCAGCAGCATTGGTAAAGCTCCAGCAAAACCTCTGGTTTGTAGCATGTTTGCACACTACCATCTCTCAGGTAGAGTTTAAATACTCCTCAGTGCAATAATACAAGGAAGGGAACAATCTGGTAGGGAATACTGAAGAGTTCTCAGTATTCACATTGAAACTTTAAGAACTGATTAACATATGACTCAATTTATCCTCTCAAGAGAAGCCTGAATCAATCCTTCTGGGAACCTAATCTGTATTCCTAAAACGCAGTCTGACATATACTTCTGCAGGACCTTCCTGAACCAGGACAACTACAAAATAACCACAGACTTCTCACATTAAAGAGTTGCCCCCCATTCACCCAGGGTCACCTAGAACACCTCTCCTATTAATTTCCATGATGCTATTTCCTGTTCCATACATTGAAAAGACAAAACAAAAAGCTGGTACACACCTGTATCCCCATGGAAGCAGCTGTCCTGGTGACATCTCCCAGAAGGCAAATCTCCATCACTTGGCCAGATCTGTCCTGTTTTTCGTACTCCCACAATAGTAGCCTCAGACACAATGACCTGCTGTTGCCTGTGCCGTTTTTGAGACTGGGGGGTTGGTGGACTGCTACTGTCAAAGGACTGCTGAGAGTTCTGGGAGGGAGAACGGCTTTTATCCCGATACATGCGGTAAGTGGTGGGGCTGGGGGAGACATGGCTGGACTGCCCTGATGAGAAGTCTTCCTCACTGGAGGTAAGGTTCTCATTAGAGCTACAATCAGGAGTATATCCTCCTCCAATATCTTCAAAACTCCTGGGGGAATAAGATCTTCTGGGCCAAGTGAGATGTTTTTCCTGGTCAGTTGAGCCCTGATTTCGCAGAATAGGTCCTTTCCCTTCTTCTCCCATCATTCCACCAACATAGATACTTTGATAGGGTTGAAAGTCCATGGGTTGCCAGGGTGAGCGGTTGCTGCCATTGGCATTAATCAGGTTATCTTTGAGAAACCTGGGGTTCAGTTCAGCATCCTCATATTCTCCATCATAGCCAAAGCTGCTCTCTGAGGACCTTCCCCTGTAAGCAGGCCTCTGGAATTCACTAAAGCTGGGTACCATGTTAGAAGGGAGGGAGTGTAAAGACTTTTTGCGTTCCATTTGCATCGCTTGGCTACCAAGGGAGCTTATTTTATCTGAAACATCTTTATCATTGACCTTTACTAGACCCTTCTCATGATGATACTCCATGTTCACATAAAAGGGCTTTTCAACAACATCCTTGTTATCCCCTGAAGAATGTGAATTAACCTTTTTAATCCTCTCAAAATTGGACCTTAGGGCTGCCACACTGGTGCTGTTCCCTCTCTCCTTAGAAACAGGTTCAAATGATCCCTCTTTCTCAGCAGATCCCACTAGCCTACGAGTGGAAGCTGCTCTGTGTTTTGAAGGAGAGCCATCTGTATCACAACGATTCTCCATATCTTCTACAACTCTCTTGAGTTTCTCTTCACCATAGTACTTACACCTGTCCTGCTCTCCCTCTCCATGATGGGGGCTATCCAAAGGCGACAGGTCTGACCCATCACTCTGGGTCGACAGCTTCCGCAGAGAGGGTATCCTAGGCTTCAACTTTTCCTCTCCGTGGTGTGACTTGCTTTTTTCATATTCATCTTGGTCAGCAGACTGGTGATGATGCAGGTCTTGGATCTGCTGCTCTGCACCCCCTTCAGGGAACTGAGAAACACGTTTAAAACCCCATCTCTGTCTATCATAGCTTTTTTTCTCCTTAGCCAGAAGAGTCTGCAGGTATATCATACGGAACCTCTCCTTGTTGACCTCCATCTCCAGTCTCCGAATAGATGCTTTGCACATCTCCAGCTCCTGTTCAATGTCTCCCACAGATTTCAGCTCCATTTTAGGAGGCTCAGAGTCTGCAAACTGTGCTTTCCAAGCTTCCACAAACCCCACAGGGTCCACCATTTTGCATACAGGAGTAAGTGGAGAATAAGGGAAGGAGGCTGAAAAGAGATAGGTGGAGAGAATAAACCAACCAGATCTCACATGTAAAAGGCAGAAACAGCTCCGGCAGGGTCAACTCAATGCTTCTCTTTCATAGTCCATACTAGTAAACTGGGAGGCAAACGTTAATCCTCGGAGCAGTCTCTTCTCCCCGTCTCCTTCAGCTTTTGCCGGGCCCAGCCCCCTGTATACTCGTTACTCTCGCCCCAGCGTGACTGCTCTTCTGCTAGCGAACAACAATGCTACCAAGCCGGCAACCCCAGAGCACTTCAAAGTGGATGGACAAAGGAGCAGGCTCGGGGCGGGGGAGGGAAGGTAAATATCGCCCCCCACCCACCCACCTCCTGACGTTGCCGTCCTGGGCACGGTCCTCAGTGCAGCCACGTTCGGGAATCCTCGGCTCCGTCCTCCTCTCGCCAGCCCCCGTGTTGTGCTTTCTCTTTCTCTCTCCTCCTTTCCCCCTGCCCCTTTCCCTGTCTCCTCCTCCCGGCTATTGTGCTGTCCTCCAGGCGCACACGCTCTCCGGACCCTCCGCGCACAGCAGCGAGGCG